TCAGAGGGATGCTTTAAAGCAACACCTTTAAAACAAACACATCGAGGACATCCTACACAGCTTTCAGAGTGACTTGGGAACCTTCGGTCTATGTCTCTACCTAACCCAGTGGTCGGCAAACTGCAGCTCGTGAGCCACATGTGGCTCTGTGGCCCCTTGAGTGTGACTTTTCTACAAAATACCACGGCCTGGGCCAGTCTATTTTGAAGAAAGAAGTGGCGTTAGAAGAAGTTTAAGTTTAAAAAACTTGGCTTTCAAAAGAAATTTCAATGGTTGTACTGTTGATATTTGGTTCTATTGACTAATGAGTTTGCCGACCACTGGCCTAACACAGGTGAGTTGGGCACATCTTTGATTAATGTAGAGACCACATAAAATGTAGGACTGTTGTCACTACTGAGCAGTTCAGAAGGATATTTGGAGTTGGGTTGAAAATATAAAATAAAATGGAATTCATTGTCTTCAATCAAAATTAATTTCAAAACATCCCTATAGCTCCGGGGTGGGGTGAGGAATGTCCAGCCTGCGGGCCATATAAGACCCATGAAATCATTTGTAAGTTGAGAATTTTACACGGTCCGTGAGTCATACTATAAATATCTGTGACAAATACACTTGCCAGTCCAAAATTAAATTTAAAAAGAAGAGAAAATGGACATGGAGACACAAACTACAGCAAAAACAAGGTGTTCAATGTTGGTCTTACAAGAGCAGGTGTCTGCTGGGCAGGCACGCCCCAAGTGGTTATAACCAGTATTTTATTCCCTGGTGTGCAGGTCCCTCCCTGGTTCCTCATTGGCTGAGTCCTGTGGGGTGTACAATCTTCCCAGAATGGTCACTAAGTTTCATTATTTCCTTATTGGGTATTCTTTCCTTCCCAGTTTAAGTTCCCTTGGCCCTTGGCCCCTTCCCGGCATCCTGTTTGCCTGGGGACTCTCCAGGTGCATGAACTTGGTCACATCAGCAGGCCATTATGCAAGCAAACTACCAGAAATTTTCCATTCATGGTTAAATGCCTTGCCTCGAAAATGGACCTCCACTGACTTTATTTCTAACGATATCCAAATGGTCCTTGGCAGAAAGAAGGTTCCCCACTCTGGTATAGCTTATCAACTGCCCATTTGAAGAAGTTAACAATGAAACTGTATACAAAGAGAGATTGCAGGACACTCTGGCTGCTATGTCATTCAGCAGGCAAGATTATGTTCTAGACAACAACATTAACGTGGGTGCACCAGGGCCCAGATACAAACACAGGGGACACGGCCTCTCTGTGCTGTTCAGGGCCCTGCTGGCTGTGACAACTGAACACAGACCCATGGTGCTTGTGAGGTTGACGATGACTGACTAAGTCAACAGCCCCACTGCCTTAAGTAACAGGAATGATAACTACCACCAGTTAACCAAAAAGATGGCCAGGCTTTCAATAAACCATACAATAGCATTCAACATCAAATCATCATCCCAAAATATTTTATCTTATATCATTAGAGCTGCATAGTAATCTGAAAAGGCATTGTGATCATCTGTTCTCTGAAAACCTTTGAAGAGCAAAAAAAGTTTACCAACTTGAGTGTAACCTTTTACACAGGAAGTGGCTGCTTTATCCTGGGACTTAAGGCCACTGACTCATGGCCCTGGAGCAAACCAGTAACTTACCTTGAGACATGACTGGGTTTCCTGGTTCCTAGGAGGCCCTTTCGTCCATGAGGAGGTTGTGGAGGCTTTACTGACCTCTCCCCACCCAGAAAGGGCTCATCCTCGCCTTCCCAGACCAGGAAATGACAACTCCATCCTTCTAGCAGTTCAGCCCAAACCCTTAAGGCATCTTGGTTCCTCTCTTTCCCCTGCACTCTATACCCAACCATCAGCCAACACATCATCTCTGACCTTTAAAATACTTGCAGAATCCAACCATTTCTCAACATTTCCATTTGCTACTACCCCGGCCCAAACTACCAAAATGTCTTGCCTGGTCCCCTTGACTCCCTTACAGTTTATTGGCTACATGTTAGTCAGAATGATCCTGCTCAAACTTAAGTGGGATGATTTCATTCTTCTGATCAAAACCCTCCATTGCCTCCCATGGCACTTTGAGAAAGAGCTTCATATGATCTGGCCATTCTACTGCCCCTTAAACCTTCTTCCTGCCCCCACCCCTACCCCCACCCCAGCTTACTCTCCTCAAGCCACACAGATGCCTTCTCTTCAAACAAGCCAGGCATTCCCCGCTCTCAGGGACTTTGCTCTTACTATATTCTTGGCCTGGACTTCCCATTCCTCAGATATCTGAATATCTGGCTTCCTTGCCTCCTTCAAGTTCTTGTTCAAATGTCGCCCTCTTGTCCACCTCCCCTGAGAGGCCTGTGAAAGGCTGCCACCTTCCCTCCCCTTTGCTGCCCTTCTCCAGCACTCCTCTGTCCCTTTCGCTGTCTTAATTAGCCCCATGGCCCTTAACACTTCTGACGCACAGGGGACTTATCCATCTGCTTGCCCATCTCCTCCCACTAAAAGGTAAGCACCATCAGAGCAGGGGCTGTGCCGTCCTCCCTGCTGTGTTCCTAGCCATGAAAACAGCTCACAGTGAACGATCAATAAATGTGTATGGGTCAAGTGGATTTTCTCGGGAGAAAACAGCCTTTAAATGCTTATAAAGGTATCTCTGATCATATGTATCAGTTAAATATTTTATTACTATCTCTATTGAAAATACCAAACCAATATTTCTAATTCAGAGATTTAGAACAATCATGTGATTTAAAAATAAACAATCAGCACTTTTTCTTTGTGATAAAATTTCTTTACCATTTATTTTTAAAATTTATCTTTATTATTAAAAGTATTATAGATGTATGCTTTGTTTTTTGTTTTCCCTATGGACCCCCTCCTCCTCACACTCACCTCTGTCAAGCCTTTGCCACACTATTGTCTGTGTCCATGGGTTATGCATATATGCATACAAGTTCCCTGGTTAATCCTCACATTCCCCATCACCACCTTCAGTCTGTTCATCGGTCTGTTCATGGTACTATGTCTCTGGATCTATTTGGTTCACCAGTTTATTTTGTTCATTAGATTACACATATGAGTGAGATTATGTGATACTCATCTTTCTCTAACTGGTTTATTTCACTTAGCATAATACTCTCCTGGGCAAACAGTGCTTTTTCAATAACCATATATGTATTTAAATTCTCTCTGTACCTATATAACCTAAAGAATACTTTGCAAAGGGCCAATTCATAGAGGCATGGCCAATTTTTCCTAATAATCAAACAGAATCATGCTGAATAAAATGTTTTAGACAAGTGTGGCTTGTAGAGAATGGTGTTAGGCCAGCTGTTATGAAATCATAGCTGCTAAGATATATAGCAAGTTTACACCCATGGGAGAAGGCCCCCTTTGGAAAAATCCAATCATTTACTATAAGGTTACTTCTTAAAGGACAGAATGAAAGGCGATGGGAGCCAAAAAGACAAGGTGAGGACCGCCCACTGTGTGAGCACATGCTAGCAATCCTGCTTGTACTTACTGGGAAAGGAGACACAAGACAATGGGTGAGGTGGGAGGAGAGATCCATGCCTGATGACAAAGGGCAGAGTTGTGAAGACCAGAGAACTTTATGAGACAAACAGATGAGAGTAAATAAATATGAGAACCATAAAAAATAAAGTATCCAGGATGGTTTTATCCAAAGGGCAAGGGCAGGAATAGCCTCGAAAGAAGGACCATGTAAAATAGTCCAGAGAAAAAAGCAAGGGAGCAGTTGGGATGCCTTCCCCAGAACCCAGCAATCCGCCACCTCAGTACAAGCCCCCGATCAAATATGGGGTTAACTTGTGCTCAAACTTCTCCAAAAATCAAAAGTGGGGGCTAAAGGAAATCACATAATCTGAAACTGGAGAGTAAAGACGTTGTGAACTAGCCATAATCCCAACATTCCAGGCCTTGCTGTTGGGGAATGTTTGGACTAAAGGCACAGGTGACAGTCCAAGGTCATTTTCACCTAAACTGTACAGCTCAGCACTGTCCGAGAGAAATGTAACGCATCCATAATGTGAGCATATGTGTTATTTAAACATCTTAGTAGCCACATTTTTTTAAAGTAAAAAAACAAAACAAAACAGGTGAAATTGGTTTTAACATATCTTAACACAATATATTAAACACTTTATCATTTTAATATGGAATCTATATGAAACTATTCAAGAGATATTTTACATTGTATTTTTTTGTACTAAGCTTTCAAAAAATCTTTTATGCACTTTCTACTTACTGGCCTCAGTTTGGACTAGCTACATTTCAAGTGCTTATGAGCTATCTATGGCGAGTGGCTGCTGCACTGTCCAGTATAGCTATAGATCTCATGTGTGGGCTGAGATCTGTATATCATTTATGTTTTAAAGAAGGCTCACATATTCGGGATATAATTTTAAAAAAAAAAACCTTCTTATTTTTAATAACATTTATTCATGCAATAAACTTCCTATAAGTGCTAAATCCTAGAGAGCCAAGTAGGAAAAGGATAACACTGATGTGGCAAAGAAAGGCTGCGACTGCCGAAGCTGGTTTGGCTCAGTGGATAGAGTGTCAGTCTGCGGTCTGAAAAGTCCCAGGTTCGTTTCTGGTCAAGGGCATGTATGTTGGTTGCGGGCACATTCCCAGTAGTGCGTGTGCAAGAAGCAGTTGGTCGATGTTTCTCTCTCATTGATATTTCTAGCTCTCTATCCCTCTCCCTTCCTATCTGTAAAAAATCAATAAAGCAAATTTAAAAAAAAAGAAAGGCTGGGATTTTGGGGTACCATGGTGGATACAGAACTACACCCTCCTTTCAACTCTGGGCACAGCAGTAAAAAGACAAGTTAGAGTCTATCTTCCCGATGACAGAGAACTGCACTGCCTTCTCCCCAGCGCAAGGTGCTAAGGATTTCACGGTGGATATGAACGCAGTACGTGTTCGTTCAGTAGCAAAACAGATATAAAGAAGGAGAAAGATGAACTTACTTAAATCTGTAGCTTTCTCGCTTATTATTCACAAATCCATCTGCCAAATCACGAGGCAAGATAATTTCCAAGCTTGGTGCTACTTTTTCGTCTTCATCTATGGAATAAATCTGCCAACATGAAGACAGCAAATGCATATAAAATGGTAAATTTCAGGCCTGAACCATGACCATATTATTATGCTATGCTCTGTAACCTTATTTAAAAAAATACACTTTTAAGATAAAAAATCAAAACATAGTACAATTTGGATAATTTTCCTCTTTGAACTGTGCACAGCCTCAAACAAATGTATGAAATTGAACAGGAGGTAAAACCTAAATCAATGTTCTGTCAAAGCTCGGATCCTCTTTGACTAATCTAATATTCAAATGTGAACATTTGAGTACCTCTGTTGTCGAGAAACCACTAACCCCGAAAACAACATTTTATCTAAAGATTGCTTTAGAATTATGGACCAGAAATTAGCACTTTATTACAAGCAACAGCATCTCTGAGCATTTACAAAATGCTAGACAAGAAGAACAAAGGACTAGGTCTGAGACTTCTCAGAGAGCTCAAAAGAATGCTCTCCTTCAAGTTGTGTTCAAAGAAGCCCAAGCTTTCAAGACACATATTCAGGCATTTCATAAAAGATACGTGGTTTCAAAAGACATGGATATTTCATGTCTTTGATGTCATTTTCAAGGCTGTACTCCCAACTCAGCCACTAATTAGCAAATGGCCTGGGAAAAAATCACTTCCCCTCTCTAAGCTGATATGGAACGAAGGGTCTTAATCAACCCCCTTTCAACTTAATAGTCTCTGTGTTCTTGGTTACCTACTCCTTTATGTATTGGCCAGAAAATATCAAAGGTCAAGCTTATGAAAAGGTCATGTGGAATAAAGAAACGCCTATGATTTTGTGTCCAAAGACCTGGCCCAACACTAATCTCAAGTTACCAGATGTGTGACCAGCCACTACCTGGCTGTATGAGAATCCTGGTTCCTTAGACCTAAGATGAGGAAAGCAGATTGGCTGCAGGGATCAAATGACGTCACGGAAAGGAAGCATTTTGTATGCACCATAAAAAAATGTTAGTCATTAGATTTAGAGGTTTTTAAGAAAGGCTTCTTGTCTTTCACCAGGAAATAAAATTATTCCTACCAGGCAATACTTCCTGTTTAAGACCCATTAGACACTTGGTTATGGGGGAAAGTCCTATTCCTAAGCAAATAAAAGCCCACCTAAACCTCCAGGAAACCTGACTAGTTTTCCCAAGCAGACTTCTAGTGAACATTCTCATTAAAAATGTGAAGAATCTATGTAAAATGACATTATTTGTAGAAAATAATGGCATCAGGTCCACGGCTTTCCGGCTAGGTTTTCTCAAGAGACATTTAAAAATGATATTGTGTAGGTCACTACATTAAAAAAATAATAATAATGCCCAGACAGGTGAGTAAAAGGGATTATAAGGCGTGAAACATACAGGAGTGAGGACTGCCATGCATTAAAACAAACAAACAAAACAAAGCAACAACAATAACAACCCTGTAGCATTCAGCGTTCGGAAGATAAGAAGGAACAGCTACTAGCATAGGAATAGTGACCCACCACCATCAGTAAGTCATTCTTTGGAGCATTATGAAAATCCTCATATACCCAGAAAACATGTTTTGTCCAAGAGATTGATTTTCGATCCTTAGCCACAAAAGGATTTGAGATAGAGTAGTTCTTTAAGAATAGCAGATAATTAGATCTAATGAAAAGATGAATATGAAAATATTTCAAAATACACAAAGCAGTATACAAATGAAAAGGCACTGCCATCATCAGAGGTTCATCTTAGGTATTTTTTTATTTATTAGCCTATAAATTACTGTAGTGCTTTAAGAAATGAGATTAATGAAGCAGTGGAACCATAAAATGAAGAGGGGGGCAGGGGGAACAAACACTTTGAGTCACTCTTGGCTTAAAGCTACAAGCAGCATTTTCCGTTTGAGAAACAACCATGTAATCTTTTGGGGGCAAAAAAGATAGCATGCAAACAGTGGGATCTCTAAGGGAGAGCAGGGATACACTAACTCAAAATTTGTTCATCTGTGCTCTCTCGGTTTTGTATATTGGCATAATGTTGCATCTCAGTAAGAAACCTGACTTTATAAAAATACGGTATGACACGTCAAAACACTTCTTGAAGTACCAGTCTAGTACACAGCATCCCACAAAAGAAATGCAAAAGAAACACATTAAGATACCCAAACATTGCACTTTAAAAAACGAGAAAGTTCAATATTAAATCCAAGATTCTCCATCAACCCATCCACAGTTCTGCCTCTGTCCTCTCACATCACCATATCTAAGCACCTGCTCTGACTGCAAAGTCTATGAGGACAAGTTCAGCATTTTTACTAAAAATTTAGGGAGAGAGGGGGAGGCTGGCATTATATACACTTTTTACATATGATGCACTTTTTACAACCTTCTGGTAAGGGAATGTAAGAAGAAAGAAATTTGGAAGAAACTCATATCAACTTTCTATACTGCCTTATTGTTTTTTAAAAAGCCAATCTTTCCTTTGGAGTTTTCTCATGCATCTTTTCAATGCATTTCACAGGTAAAAAAAAAAAAAAAAAAAAAAGAGTGATGACAAAGACACTCTATCCTCCTTGTTTGAGGAGAACACATAAATGCACAAAGTACACATGGTAAATGTGAAGCTATGAGAAGCTGTAATGTTACATTTATATATATGCCCTGTGTAGAAATATAGATATGGGTCAGAGATAAAAGGTTATTAATATACCCATTCCAGGCACTGATTAATAAGACTCAGGTTGCCCTTGCCTAATCCTCGCTTTGTGAGGCAAAAAGGTTTTGCCTGAGAGCCAAGAGCTTTGGAATGATAATAATTTAAAAAATCCTACGTTAAAATCGGGGCTCTGCTACTCGAGAGCTGAGTGGCTTGGGCACATTACTCATTCTGAGACTCAGTTTCCTCCTGGAAAATGGCATTAACTTCGCAGGGTTTTCATAAGAACCAGAGATAAGGCAGACCAAGCACATCAGTAAGAATGGCTATGCCCCTTTCCAAGGAGAGAAGACCAAACATTTAAGAAGCACTCAAAGTTTCTCTACTCATGGAGCCAGAGCAATGTTTTAACTTCCTCTGTACCCAACACTAGAGGAAGCACCTAGGAAGTGCTCAGCTCATGTTTTCTGAATACCAGTGAAGATTATATGAGCATTCTTTGTGTCGGGAGGCATAAATATCTATTTACACATGCACTAAGCTCATGTTTCTGCTGCAGAATGATAATACAGTCAACAAATTCTAAGGGCCTACTGTGTGCAGAGCCTCTCTGTATATCTCTATTTGAAACTATTATCTGCAACATCTCAGCCATGTATGGACACCTATCTCCTGCATGCCTTGCCTGAGGGCGGGACATAAGTTTGAGTGCGTGTGTGTGTGTGTGTGTGTGTGTGTGCAGAGATGCGTGACTATGTCCTAGAAAGGGGCAATAATGCCTAGTTGAGGTACAGCCCACGTGAGTGTACAAACACACATCAGAGCACGCGTTTGCCCCCGGGGTGAACAGGTGTGCCGGGTGTATGTATGTGCTCTATGGAGCCTGTGTCTGTGCTCACAGGGCTGTGCTGGGTGGGAGTGCCCTGGTGTCTGTCTGTCCCAGTCCTGCCAGCCAGGCTCCTCAGACAGAGCATGCAGGATTCCCCCAGACACCCTGAGCCCTAAGCCAGGCCCTCCTCCTGGCCCAGGTCCCATGAATGCCGCCCCTCCCCTGGCCAGGGAGGCCCGAAGCGGCCGGCATCCTCGCTGCTCCGACCCGTACCCCTTGCGGCTGCTTCCGGACAGTGGGCTTCACCCTGGCGAAAATCTGGATCGTCTGCTTCACCATCTCCTCCTCTGGCCCTGGACTGACCCTGGACCTCTCAGGCCCAGGCTCTCCAAACTTCTGATTCCCACCGCCTCCAGCGAGCCACAGCGTTAGCAACAGTAACTAGGGACACTACCCAAGGAGCAATGCGCCAACCAGGACCGCCTCTCCTCGCTAATTGGTTGCTAATGGAGTGCCCCGCCCCCACCCCCCAGGGAAACACTGAAGGGCGGGGTTGAGGAGAGCTGAGCTGAGCGGAGAGTACTGGGCTACAAGTTTAGCTCCAGATGGAGAGTGGTTAATGGGGTGACAAGCAACATGCCTTCCCTGTCCCTTAATCCATTCTTCCCTTCTTTAGCACTGAAGCCATTCTGTTTTTTATTATTCATTCATGGAATAAATGGCACTTGATCTGTGATAGCAGTGTGCTGGCTGGGGATCCTGAGCTGCGCAGAACTGCCTCTGCCCTCTGGCAGATTAGGTCAGATTAGGTCTGCAGAATTCCATTAGGAAATTAGAAAGGATGTCGGGGTAAGCAAGGGACTCTGAGAATGTACCTCATCGAGCTCTGTTTCAGAAGAGGGAAGACTGGAAAAAGGGGGACCGTTTCCCACGCAATTGTCATATCAGGGAAGAATGGGCTCCTTTGCGCAGTGTTGGTGGGGATGTAAATTAATGCAGCCACTGTGGAAAAGAGCAAGGAAGTTCAAAAAAAAAAATTGAAGATGAAATCAGATGCCTAAGAGATACCAGTATCTACACTCCCACATTTATTGCAACACTAGCCCAGATATAGTGTCCACTGGTGGATGAGTGGATAAAGAAAATGTGATATACATAATAACATATTTTTATATTATGCCTTATATCTACAACACAGTTATATATATATATATATATATATATATATATATATATATATATATATATATGCCAGATTATTATGACCATCCCATTAGTACTTCATTGGGTCACCTTTTGCCTTCAGTACTGCAGTGATTATTTTTTAAAATATATTTTATTGATTTTTTTATAGAGATGAAGGAAGAGGGATAGAGAGTTAGAAACATCAATGAGAGAAACACATCAATTAGCTGCCTCTTGCACACCTTCTACTGGGAATGTGCCCACAACCAAGGTACTTGCCCTTGACTGGAATCGAACATGGGACCTTTCAGTTCATAGGCCGACGCTCTATCCACTGAGCCAAACCGATTCTTCTTGGCATTGACTCCATGAGATATTGAAAGATGATGTGAGGAATCTGACACCATGCCTGATGAATAGCATGTCCAGTTCTGTGAGATGTGATGGTTGTAGAACCAGCTGCCTGATGGCTCTTTTAACTTCATCCCACAAATGCTCAATTGGATTGAGATCTGGTGATTGTAGGGGCCACCTAAGCAAGGTAAAGTCTCCCTCATGTTCTTGAAACCACTCCTGCGCAATACAAGCACCATGGCATGGCTCATTTTCTCGTTGGAAGAAGCCATCTCCGTTGGAATACGCCGTCAACATGATAGGATGAACTTGATCAGCAATGATACTTAAGTATGTTGTGCTACTCAGACGTTGTTCCACACGAATTAAAGGGCCCAAATCATGCCAAGAAAACATGCCCCAAACCATAACACTGCCCCCACCAGCTTGAAGGGTTGTACTCATGAACGTGAGGTGCATGCTTTCATGCTGTTTCCATGAAATTCTTACTGCCATCTGCATGATGCAACTGAAAATGTGATTCATAGGACCACATGACAGTTTTCCAATGCTTGACTGTCTGATCCTTGTGTTCCTGTGCAAATTGGAGAAGTTTTATCTTGGTAACTGCAGACAGCAAAGGTGTTCAAACAGGCCTTCGACTTCCATATTCCATAGGATGCAGTGTATGGCTAATTTGCCTACAAATGTCAGGTGGTCATAATAATCTGGCTACTCATTGTGTGTGTATATATATATCATGTAGAGCTAGAACAGATGATATTGAGTGTACTACTGATAAGATGGTCCCAGTACTGCATATTAAATATAAGTGGAACTGATTTTCATATCCTTGCAAGACAGAAATTGCGTTATTTATTTGCATAAAAACCATCATGCTCACACTAAAATGACATCCCATGGGCATTAGAAAACATTAAATGTACTTAAATGTGAGATGGAATATTATTCTGCCATAAAAAGAAGACCCTGCCATTTGGCACTAACATGAATGAAGTTGGAGGCACTGTGCTAAGTGAAGAAGGGATAGAAATAAAGACTGTGGATTTCACTTACACGTGGAATCTGAAAGAGTGGAACTCATAGAAACAGACAGTGGAATGGTGGTTGTCAGGGAATGAGTGGGGGAAATGGGGAGCTATTGCTCAAATGGCACAAGCTTTCAGTTAGAAGAGGAATAACTGCTGGGGATCTAATTTAGAACTTGGTGATGATAGTTGACAGTATGGTATTACATACTTGGAAGTTGCTAAAAGACTGAATCTTAAATGTTCTCATCACACAGAGAAAGTTAATTACGTGAGGTGATGGAGGTGTTAACTAACCTAGTTGTGATCATCATTTTGCAATATACATGTGTATCAAATTATCACGTTGTACATCTTAAACTTATATGTCTGTTATATCTCAATAAAGCTGGGATAAATAAATAAAAGGATGAGCACCTCAAAAGACACTGCTAACACATGAAGAGATAGTCAGCATCATTATCCACCAGGGAAATACACATTAAAACCACACTGAGATATCACATACACTATCAGGATTAAAAAAAAAATAGCAACAAAACCAGAGCTGACATGGATACAGAGAAACTGAGCCATTCACACTTTACTGGTGGTGTAAAATGTGTCATGAACGATATGGGTACTCTAAAAAACCAGTTTTGTTGTTTATTACAACTCTAAAGATGCAAGTATAATAAGATCCAGCAATTATGTTCATGGGTGTTTATATCACAAAAATGAAAATTTTTGTTCACACAAAAACCTGTGCATGAGTGTTCATAGCAGCTTCATTCATAATAGCTCCAAACTAGACAGAATCCAGATGTCCTTCAACCGAAGAATACTTGAATAGGTGATGGAATACTATTCAGCAATAAAAATGAAGAGACTACTGATACATAGAGCAATGTAGGTGAATTCTCAGAGACTTATGCTGAGTGAAAGAAGCCAGACTCAAGCTAAATGCTGTATGATTCCATTTTTATAACATTCTTGAAATGACAAAATTATAGAGATGGAGAGCTCATTAGTGGTTGCCAAGGGGTAGGCAGGCAGGGAGGGGGTGAAGTAACTATGGCTATAAAAGAATCCTTGTGATGGACTATTGTGTATTTTGACTGTAATAGTGGTCATAGATATCTACCCATGTGATAGAATCGCATAGCGCGCGCACACACACACACACACACACACACACACGTAGTGCATATAAAACTGGTGAAATGTGACTAAGGTTGAATGAGATGGATAAATGGCATCCATGTCCACTCCCTGGCTGTGACCTGTACTGTAGGTAGGCAAAATGCTGCCATTAGGAGACCTTGGGGAAGTGGAGATAAGATCTCTCTGTGTTATTTTCTAATACTGCATGTAAGTCTATAATTATCTCAAAAGAAAATGTTTTGTTTTTTTTAAAAAAGAAACTCAGAGAATGAAAAGACCAGCCACAAACTGGGAGAACACTTTGGCAAAACACCTATCTGATAAAGAGCTCGCATTCAGAATACCTAAAAACTCTTAAAACTTGATAATAAATAGGAGAGCAAACTACCTAAGTAATTAAAAAAAAGTGAGCAAGGATTTGAACAGATAATTCCCATAATATAGATGGCAAATAAGCCTGGGAAAAGATATTTAATGTAATGAGCCATTAATTAAATGCAAATTAAAACCACAGTAAGACACTATGACACCCCTCTTAGAATAGCTACAAATAAGGAAAGAAAACTGGTAATACCAACAGCAAATATGGATGCTAGCATGTAGAACTCTCAGACAAGGCTGGGAGACAGCAAGAGGGACCAGTCACTTTGAAAAAGTTTCATAGTTTCTGACATGGAGAATCACACATATACTTACTATTAAACCCTCATCCCCACTCTTAGGTGTTTACCCAAGTTAAAAGAAGTGTAAACAGTGACTATTGTGGTTTTATTCACAATTGCCCCAAACTGGAAACAAAGTAAATGCTCTTCAGTGGGTGAATGGATAAACAAACTGGTCTATCCACACAATGAGAAGGAATGGACTGTTAATGCCTGTAACAACATAGTTGAATGTCAAATTTATTATGCTAAGTGAAATTTACACATAGAATAATCCATTTGTATGACATTCTAGAAAAGGAAAAACTATAGGGCAAGAAAACAGATCAGTAGTTGCCAGGGGTTGAGGTATGGAGAGGTGTTGACTACAAATGGGCATGGCAGAGGGTGTTTTGTGTTGTTATTTTTTTTGGGGGGGGGGGGCACTGATGGAGCTGTTTCATATTTTTATTGTAATTGTGGTTACATGACTAGATATATTCGTCAAAACTCAAAGAACTATTGATATACTGAAAGAGGGGAATTATACTGTATATACCCCGTTTCCCCGAAAATAAGACAGTGTCTTATATTAACTTTTTCTCCCAAAGTTGCGTTAGGTCTTATTTTCAGGGGATATCTTATTTTGGGGGAAACACGGGTACATTGCACTATTATCAAAAGGGTAAAAAAGAGGATGGGGTATGAACAGGCATGGCATAGCAGGGACTGAGAGCAGGAGGGCCAGATGTTTGTGGGATGGACTTGGAGACTTTTTCACTTGCTGCTGTGCTGAGGAAGGAAAGACTCAGGATTGCATAGCTGGGTCATGGCCACACCTTGACTGCTGTGACTACTGCTGCAATGGACATGGGAGTGCAGGCGTCTCTCCACCATACTGATTCTGGTTCCTTCAGAAGTGAGACAACATGAGTGCTTGTATTCACAGAATGGAATATAATTCCCATTAAAAATGGGGAATTCTGCA